CCCCCCCCCCACCAATTTAAGAGCCAAGCACCGAACGATAATTTCGAAAGTCTTTAACGGGTACTTCATTTTGTAAATCTGATTCCCTGAAAGTTTGGCATATTGAGAATCTGTTGGTGGGGGAGGGGGAATCGTTGTTCATGCACTTTTATGTGTGAGGTCTGAGGGACGTTCTTCGGGTATTTTGCAACGCTTTATCAGGTTATGAGGTTCTGTAATCTAGAATAGCATACGGTGATTGTCTGGGCCTGACACATACGACAACCCACTGGCCTCGAGGGTTCAGATTCTGTTAGGTGGGAGCCTCCCGATGTCAGAGCGTGGTTACATACAATCATAACATTTGTCATTTGAATATTCTTTGATTACAACTTAGACCAAGGACCTCTGACTCGTGCATGGCCTGAGCTTGATTGTCGCAAAATATCTCCGAGCTTTGTTGCAGTTACAAACAGACAAATAAATCTCGTTGGAATCCAGAAATCTGGGTTGGGGTGTCGGAGGCGAAGGTAACAAAGCACATGGCGCCTTCGTCCCCCTTGACCTCTTCGTGTGACGTAGCCGAAGGTCGCTGGAATTTTGCACCAAGTTGAATTCCTTGCACTGAACAAGGCACAAATGTTTAATCTGTGTTTGTGTTTCTTACAGGATGCCTTTCACGTGGTTCAATTGCCTACCCTCATCTCATGCTCAACCTAATCAGTGGAGCGAAGAGCCGAGATCGATATACCTGCGCATGCGCCAACTAATCGATGGCAGGGACCATTTCTTCCTGGAGAAGGTTCACCACGAAAAAGAACTGCTAATTCGGAAAGGAGAATATATGTTAATATTAAGATACATTGTACCCTCTCTTTACAACGCGTTTCACCAGAATTATGGCTATTTATTTTTTTATGGACGCATGGATCGGTCTGCCTTCGACTGGAATTTGCACGAAGAAAGATCTGCAACCGTCCAGCTATTCGATTATTTCAATCTGGATTTCTTTACTTCACATAACAAAACTGATACGTCTGACGGCGTAGTTAATGTTCGAGAATCCTCTAACATGGACCTGAATACTGACATAGAACTTCGCTCACCGTTAAGACTGGCCCCAATAAAATTTTCTGATAACTCTCTATCATACATTTGGACGTCCGATGTAATCGTGAGCGGTTATCGCGAGATCCACTCTGAATCATGGAACTAAATTCCTTTTGAAAAATACTATAAATTGCTCTGCATCTCTTGCAAACGGCCCAACTTCTACGTTTCAACATATTATAAGCTCTAGCAAAAAATGATAATCACAGAAGATGGCTATCTTCTAGGTAGTTGCCCCGTGTAGTATGGTATATGTTTAACAACGTTTCAGAGGTCCTTGCTGCCTCCGTCATCAGGGCGATGAATGTGCCAATCGAGCGCAAAGAGCCAGGTCTATGGGGACCGGACAGTAACCGGAGTAGCCTGATCCTAGCCAATGAGAGCAAATCAGGCGTAGGTGGGGACCAATAGGAGAGCGTGGGCGGGCCTAGCGGTGTACATGCATAGCCCTGATGATGGAGGCAGCAAGGACCTCTGAAACGTTGGTGGAAATCTACGAGACTACACGGCGCAATAGCCCAGAAGACAGCAATCTTTAGACTCGCCGCTGTGAAAACCTCAAATCCTGCATGATTAATACAGTTTTCTTTACTCAAGTGTATCTCATTACTGATTTCTTTGTTTAGCCCACTATGACAGAAATTCCTGTAACTAAAATTTAAGCAGAGAGCAAATAAACACAAAACATGTTCACAAAGATTTGCATTGCATTTCCATGAGTCTATTTGAATGCATTCCACCAACAGGCTTAAATTCCCATTGTACGTGCATGCAGTGGCGAAGCGTGGCCTTTTGAAATGTGTCAGCCATATCCCGT